TTGGTCAACACCAACATTTTGAAGTGACTTCCATCATTTGATCAAGGGTTGATCATGATTCCTCAAGGAATACTCCAAATTCATCAAAACCCAAAAGTTGTTAAATTAGGGTTTTGCAGGAAAAGTCAACCCAACTTTGACTAAGCATAACTTTCACATGTTTTATCATAAATTTTCCATCCAAAACTCATTTTGAAGAGTATGCAATTCCCTACAATTCATCTTCAGTCCACAAGTTTAAAATATGCACTCACAAAAAGATATGAATTTTGACATTATAGGTCCTTTTGAAAAGTCAACAAAAACACCTTTTGGGTCAAAGCTTCATACATGATAATGGAAGACTAAATTGATATGAGACCAAAAGGGTTTCTTAGGGGACATCTTAAGATTTCTAAAAAGTCCAAGAACACCTCTCTAGGATCAAAATTGAAGGAGATATGCCTTGTCAAAGTTGACCTTTTTTGCAAAATTGCCAAAAGTCAAATGGGCTCAAAATTGCATTTTTTGCCAAATTGGCCTAACTTTTTATGCTTGCACCTCACTTATAATATGATCCACGACCCAAATATCCAACTCATTTTATTTTCTTCAATTTTCAATTTATTTTGATTTTTTGTTAATTAAAATTTCAATTAAATCAAATAATTGATTAATAATGGAAAAGATATGTTGTGATCTGATTTTTGGACAGGATTTCAATCAAATAATGCAAGAATATCATGATCAATTCGAATCAAGGCTGATTGATACAAGAAAGGCATAATTTGGATCAATATAGCAAGTTTACATATGCCATGAAAATCAAATCAAATCTTCAAAACTTTCAAAGATGTGATTTGTTTTTGCAACCCTAATTCACTCTATGATATATAGGGAACACATCCAAGGCAAGAACAAGGGTTATAATCGTGGGAGGAGGCAGAACAAAACTGCAAAAATTCAAAGAAAAGTGTGAGACCCTATTTAAGTTTCTTCTATCCGGAGATATGAAGATTAAAATCTTCGTCTCGACGAGATTGAAGGTACTTAAATACATAAAACGCAAATTTTGCCCTAAGATACCGCCATTATGTTTGATATGAATGTAGTAATTGAATTCTCAGAGAAAGATTTTGTATGAAACAAGACAATGCTGGAGAAATCAAACACCAACAAAACACATGGACATGGATTATACACTACTGGGGAAATAAACCATCGACTTCAAGTGATAGACTTTTGACGGCGAATAAAAGTTGAGGGAACACGACTTCTGACCCTAACAAAGAAGGCATCTTGCATAGGCCATAAAATAGATTATTGACCCAAAATATCTGTGAGTTCACGACTCAAGGTCAAAGATAGACAGAGAGTATCAAATTTGTTGGCGACGGATTACCGACTTCTGAAGGTAAAGATTCATAACAAACTTCTCTGCGAGATTTCCGGAGATATACTCATTAATGCTGAGATAATAATATGGTTGTAGATACACAAGTTGCCTCAAATAAAGAAGCTGCCACTTGCTGTCTTCCAAAAAATATTATGACATACAAGATGCTCAAATAAAGAGGCTGCCACTTGCTGTCGTCCAGGGATGTCAATAACATACAAGCTGCTCAAATAAAGAAGCCGCCGCTTGTTGTCTTCCAACAAAATACTATGACATACAAGCTGCTCAAATAAAGGAGCTGCCACTTGTTGTATTCCAGAAAAATAATAACGTACAAGTTGCTCAAATAAAGAGACTGCCGCTTGCCATTTTCCAAAATAATAATAACGTACAAGTTGCTCATGAAGAGACCGCCGCTTGTCGTTTTCCAAAAATAATAACGTACAAGTTGCTCATGAAGAGACCGCCGCTTGTCGTTTTCCAATGATGTCTATAACGTACAAGTTGCTCATGAAGAGACCGCCGCTTGTCGTTTTCCAAAAATAATAACGTACAAGTTGCTCATGAAGAGACCGCCGCTTGTCGTTTTCCAAAAAATAATAACGTACAAGTTGCTCATGAAGAGACCACCGCTTGTCGTTTTCTGAAAATAATAACGTACAAGTTGCTCATGAAGAGACCGCCGCTTGCCGTTTTCCAACAATGTCTATAACGTACAAGTTGCTCATGAAGAGACCGCCGCTTGTCGTTTTCCAAAAAATAATAACGTACAAGTTGCTCATGAAGAGACCGCCGCTTGCCGTTTTCCAAAAATAATTCAGAAGGAAATTGCGATGATATTGGCAGAGAATAAAATCTTCGTCAAAGAGAACCATGAATTAATCCTTCCTGAGGAGATCACATATTTAAATGTGCAAAATAAATGCACCATTCGTCTAAGTCGCGACTTCACTGGGGAAAATCATGAGATAGCCTATGCAAGAGACAACAACTTCATCCAGGAATAAGCTAGAGGGACAACAGTCAAACAAGACTCCACCCAATGAGAAAGTAACTCGATTGGGGAATTCATCCTATCCAGAAATGGACAGGGTAGGCTAAATCAAAAATCATCCACGAGGATTAGCTCAGTTGGGGAATTTAGAAAGGAAGCACATTTTCTGCCTAAGCTAACCTTCTACTTGGAAAGAAACATGTACATTGTATTAAAAACAGAGTACAACCCAAAATCAACGACAAATGTGAATATGCATGCGTGATATAAGTGTAAATGAATAAATGAATGTTATGCTGACAAAACGAATAGATGGAATATCCTGAAGACGATAAGATGTCACGACAAGATAGATACTCGACCAATCTTAAAAAAGACGGAAAATAACTGGAACTGGAACCAACAAAGCAACGTCAGAGCGTATCACGCTACAAGGCTCAAGTCTTCTGAGGAGAAAAGTATTCAAATCCAATCTTCTAATACCAATAGACCAATTGGCATGAGACAAAGCGTACCACACTTCAGAAATTGCTCAAATAAAGGTAGCCAAAACAAAGCTTAACTGGAAAAGCTGAGGAGTCACCAAACTTAGTACCACGAGAAACGCAAGTTTAACGCAACCAACACCTCATGACGATTTTGAAACGAAACATGTTCATCATGCAAGGATAAATTACTGTATTGTTTTGCATTTCATGGCTTGACCATCCTCAGAACAACTGTTAATATTCCTTTCATTATTCACGACACATTTTAAAAATAAGAATACTTTAAATACTTTGTTTCAAATATTGTCGTAAAATTAAAATTTTGCCCACAAAAGGTAAATGCTCGAATTTCATTAATAAGATAGTAGTTCACTAATAACGCGACTCCAACGGTTTACAAAAGTTTGGGAAATAGTACATGAAAGAAAAAGGTTACACAAAAACAATGATCACTATTCTCCCTAACAACTTCGAATTCCGAAATGTGTTCAAATGCGAAGACTGGTCTGACTAAAAGCTTGCCTAAGCTGCCCTTTTGGGTTTTCAACTTAGCAAACTGTCAATTCAAACCTAAGCGAAATACTTCTTGACTGCATCGGCATTCATGGAGCGCGGGAGATCTTCACCGTCCATATTTGTGAGAATCATGGCACCTCCAGAGAAAACTTTCTTAACGACATACGGTCCTTCATAATTCGGAGCCCACTTGCCCCTAGAATCAGGTTGGAAAGATAATATCTTTTTGAGCACAAGGTCACCTTCTCTGAACTCGCGTGGTCGAACCTTCTTATCAAAAGCCTTCTTCATTCTCTGCTGATATAATTGACTGTGACACAAAGCTGTCAATCTCTTTTCTTCAATTAAATTCAACTGATCATATCTACTTTGACACCATTCGGCCTCAGAAAGTTTAGCTTCCATCAACACTCTCATAGACGGAATCTCAACCTCCACGGGGAGTACTGCTTCCATACCATAAACTAGGGAAAATGGGGTTGCACCCGTTGAAGTTCGAACTGAAGTACGGTATCCATGTAAAGCAAACGGAAGCATTTCATGCCAATCTTTATAAGTTACCACCATCTTCTGGACAATCTTATGTTAGAACAAAGTTTGAATCTACTACCCTATGTTTAAGTTTTGATGATAACAAAATGAAAAGATATATTATTTATATGATTCATGTATGAACTATTTGCTACATAAAAATATTACGTTCTGCCCTGCAGAAACTCTGATAGGTATAAGCAAGAGCACACTTAAATCAGCATGAGAATATTGGTTCTTGACATCAGCATCAGAAGTTGCTTTATCAAGAATACCAGAATCAGAAGATCAACTCACGTGTATGCTGAAGTTTGATGAACAGAACTGCGCTCAACACTCTGATAAATAAAACAACAGTTCATCAGCAGTTAAGCAGAGTCAGAATGAGCCAAGCCAGAACATGCATTAAGTAAACAACGGTACTGTGCATTGAAAGCAAATTATTACCAACGGCCTCATTCCAGACAAGATCTGCTCAATAAGGAAAGTTTGTTATTAGCATTGAATCAAGAATATTGCTCCAACGTTCAAGAATCTCAGTGCTATATAAACAAGACTATGAAGATTGAATTGGATAATGCTCTCCAACATTTTACACGCCTAAAAGCTAATCATAATCTTCCTTCTCTCAGTTTGCTAAACTCTACATATCTTCTTACTCAATCATTGTTTAGCAATCTAGTTTTATAAGCTTAAGTTGTGTATACATCACAGTTGTGATACAGTTTTGTAGAAAACATTCACACACCTAGATTTATCTTCTTTGTAAGAAAGTGTTTCCTTGACAAAACGGGTTGTGGTTTGCATCAAGAAGGCTTTAGCAGTTGTTAAAGCAGTTTGTAATATTCAGTTGAATATAGTGGATTAAGACCTCGTTGGAGAGAGGCGAAATCACCTTGACGGGTGGACTGGAGTAGTTTGAGATCAAACGAACCAGGATAAAAATATCTTGTCCATTGCATTGATTTTCAGCTTTACAATTCAACCCCCCCCCCCCTTCTTGTGTTTTTCACTTCTTCAATTGGCATCAGAGCGCCTGGTTCTGAGCTAAAACACTTAACCGTGTCAGTACAAGATCCAGCGTCAGAAAAACACAATGGCAGGAAACTGCTCTTACACCAACAATGACAACCATGAGGACAGAGACAGATTCAGCGGCAAACCTCCAGTCTTTGATGGAGAAAACTTTGATTACTGGAAAGACAGAATTGAAAGCTTCTTTCTGGCACATGATGTTGATCTGTGGGATATGGTGACAGATGGATACACGCACCCTGTGAATGCAAGCGGTCAGAAGATTGATAGAAAAACAATGTCTGACCAACAAAAGCGTGACTTCAAGAATCACCACAAGGCCAGAACCATCCTTCTCAGCGTCATCTCCTATACTGAATATGAAAAGATCTCCAACAGAGACACAACAAAGAACATTTTTTACTCACTCAGAATGACGCATGAGGGCAACGTTCAGGTCAAAGAAACTAAAGCTCTGGCGCTCATTCAGAAGTATGAGGCGTTCAAAATGGAAGAATCTGAATCCATTGAAACAATGTTCTCAAGATTCCAGATTCTGGTAGCTGGTCTCAAGGTTCTGGACAAAGGATACTCCACTGCTGACCATGTCAAGAAAATCATCAGAAGTTTACCCAAGCAGTGGAGACCAATGGTTACTGCTCTGAAGCTAGCAAAAGATCTGAACAAAATCACTCTGGAGGAACTTATCAGCTCCCTCAGAAGTCATGAGATAGAGCTAGAAGCTGACGAGCCTCAGAAGCAAGGTAAGCCTTTAGCATTAAAATCTAACAAAAAATCTGAGTCTAAAGCTTTGCAGGCAGTTGAAGAAACATCTGATGGATCCTCATCAGAAGAAGACGAACTCTCCCTCCTCTCCAGAAGAGTAAATCAACTGTGGAAGCAGAGGCAAAGGAAGTTCAGGAATCCCAGAAGATCTGATCAGAACGAGTCCTCTTCCAGATACAGAAGGACAGATTCTTCCTCTGGATACAGAAGATCTGAAGGCTCCTCAAGTAGCAAAAAGCCAAACACCAAGGACATCATCTGCTATGAGTGCAATGAGCAAGGACACTACAAGAGTGACTGCCCAAAGCTTCAGAGGGAAAAGCCCAAAAAGAAGTTTGGAAGAGAGAAGAAGAAAAGTCTCATGGCTACATGGGATGACTCTGACTCGTCTGAAGCTGACTCAGAATCAGATGATGAGAGGGCAAACATAGCTCTCATGGCTAACATTTCAGAAGATAGTGAAGCTTCTGAATCAGACTCTGAACCAGACACTGAAGAGGTATTTCCTAACTTTGTTGTTAATTTTACCAAGGATGAACTTGCTGAAAGCCTTAATGAAATTCTGGAAAGGTATCAGCAAATTAGAGTTAAATTCAGAGACCTGAAAAGGAATCTTGAATCTGACTCTAATAAGACTGAGAGTCTCAAATTGGAGAATTCTGAGCTGAGAAATAAGATTTCAAAATTAGAAAATACTTTACAAAACTCTCAGAAGGAACCAATTTCTGAAACTCCCAGCAACGCTGATGAGATCATCAAGGAGTATGATCACAGTTTCCAGAAGTTCCTTGCTAAAAGCATAGATAGAAGCAAAATGGCTTCAATGATCTATGGAGTTAGCAGAAACGGCAGGAAAGGAATAGGATACCAAGGTAAGGTTCCTACACCAAAGAATGTCATGGACTTAACCATTAAACACACTCCTCTGAATTCACATTTTGTGTATGGTCACACACATGATATTAAATACACTAGCAGTAAGTACTCTGTGAAACCAAAATTCAACCAGAGTTTTGGTAAAACTAACAAATCAGGACCCAAGAAAATCTGGGTACCTAAGGATAAAATAATACATGTTGCAGATATCTTTAGCAGCAAGTCAGAAACACCAGTCATGGTACCTGGACTCTGGCTGCTCGCGACACATGACGGGAAGAAGGCATATGTTCCAAAGCCTGGAACTTAAGCCTGGAGGCCACGTTGGCTTTGGAGGCAATCAGAGGGGAAAGATAATTGGCTCTGGAACTGTAGGTAATGGAAATCTTCCCTCTATTAATAATGTTCTGCTAGTAGATGGATTAATGCATAATCTGTTATCCATAAGTCAGTTAAGTGATAACGGTTATGATATAATCTTTAATCAAAAATCATGTAAAGCTGTTAGTCAGAAAGATGGGATTATCCTGTTTAATGGTAAGAGGAAAAACAACATTTACAAAATCAAACTTTCTGAACTAAAAAGTCAGAATGTAAAGTGCCTTCTGTCTGTTAACAACGAGCAGTGGATCTGGCACAGAAGATTGGGGCATGTTAGTATGAGAAGAATATCTCAGATTAACAAACTCAATCTGGTCAGAGGACTTCCTAATTTAAAGTTCAATTCAGATGCTCTGTGTGAAGCATGTCAGAAAGGCAAGTTTGCAAAACCTTCTTTCAAATCTAAAAATGTTGTTTCTACCTCTAAGCCATTAGAACTTCTGCACATTGACTTATTTGGACCAGTTAAAACTGCTTCAGTCAGTGGCAAGAAGTATGGGTTAGTAATCGTAGATGACTATAGCAGATGGACATGGGTAAAGTTCTTAAGACACAAGGACGAGTCACACTTTGTGTTTGTTACCTTCTGTAACCAAGTTCAGAATGAAAAGGATCTTAGAATCGTTAAAGTCAGAAGTGATCATGGTGGAGAATTTGAAAACAAAGATTTTGAGTCATTCTTTAATGACAGAGGCATTCTGCATGATTTCTCTTGTCCTAGAACTCCCCAACAAAATGGAGTTGTAGAACGAAAGAACAGAACATTGCAAGAAATGGCCAGAACCATGATCAATGAGACAAATGTTACTAAGATCTTCTGGGCAGAGGCAATAAACACAGCGTGCTACATTCAGAATAGAATCTCAATAAGACCTATTCTGGAAAAGACTCCATATGAATTGTGGAAGAACAGAAAGCCAAACATTTCATATTTTCACCCATTTGGATGTACCTGTTTTATGTTAAATACAAAGAATTATTTGAACAAGTTTGATTCTAAAGCACAGAAGTGTATTATGTTAGGATACTCTGAACGCTCAAGAGGGTACAGAGTATACAATACAGAAACACAGATTGTGGAAGAATCAATCAGTGTTCGTTTTGATGATAAGCTTGACTCTGAAAAGTCAAAGCAGAATGAAGTTTTTGCAGGTATGGAAATTGAATTTACAGGTTCTGAAGACAAGTCATCAGAAGCTCTCAACACAGACACTCCTTCAACGTCTGAAAGGAGCGCTGCTAGCAATCCTACATCAGCTGCTGATCAACCTCAGAAGAGATTACCCAGAAGCAGTTTGGATCACCCAGAAGAGACCATCTTAGGAAGAAAGGAAGATCCAATCAGAACAAGAGCAAGCTTCAGAAACTCTGAAGAAACACTCATGGGACTTGTGTCTCTGATTGAACCTTCTTCTATTGATGAAGCACTTCTGGATAATGATTGGATTCTGGCAATGCAAGAAGAGCTAAATCAATTCACCAGAAATGACGTATGGGATCTTGTTCCTAGACCAAAAGGATTCAATGTCATTGGAACAAGATGGGTGTTCAGAAATAAGCTAAATGAACAAGGTGAAGTCATCAGAAACAAGGCACGACTGGTTGCACAAGGTTATAGTCATCAAGAGGGGATAGACTATACAGAAACCTTTGCCCCAGTCGCCAGGTTAGAATCTATCAGACTTTTAATTTCATTTGCTGTTAATAGAGGCATCACTCTGTATCAGATGGATGTCAATAGTGCATTCTTAAACGGTTATATAGAAGAAGAGGTTTATGTGCACCAACCCCCTGGTTTTGAAAATACAAAACATCCAGAACATGTTTTCAAACTAAAGAAGTCACTATATGGTCTGAAACAAGCTCCCAGAGCTTGGTATGAAAGGCTAAGTAACTTTCTGTTAGAAAATGAATTCACCAGAGGGAAGGTGGACACTACCTTATTCTGTAAATCAGTTAAGAATGACATCTTAGTCTGTCAAATTTACGTTGATGATATTATTTTTGGTTCTACTAATCCTTCTCTTGGAAGAAAATTTGCTAAGTGTATGCAGGCAGAATTTAAGACGAGCCTCATGGGGGAACTGAAATTCTTTCTAGGAATTCAGATCAATCAAACTCCAGAGGGAACTTACATTCATCAGAGCAAATACATCATAGATCTTCTGAAGAAATTTGACCTCTCAGAATGTAAGCCATCAAAGATTCCAATGCATCCCACGTGCATTCTGGAAAGAGAAGAGGTAAGCAAAAATGTAGAACAGAAAGTCTACAGAGGTATGATTGGTTCTCTCCTTTATCTGACTGCTTCAAGACCTGATATATTATTCAGCGTTTGTATTTGTGCTAGATTCCAATCAGATCCTAGAGAATCTCACTTAACAGCTGTTAAGCGAATTTTCAAGTATCTGAAAGGTACTACTAATCTGGGTTTGTTTTATAGAAAATCTAGTGATTACAGTTTAGTAGGCTACTGCGATGCTGACTTTACTGGAGACAGAGTGGAGCGTAAAAGTACTTCTGGAAGCTGCCAATTTCTGGGAGAAAATCTGATCTCTTGGTCCAGCAAAAGGCAATCAACAATTGCGCTATCAACAGCAGAAGCTGAGTACATAGCAGCAGCAGGATGTAGCACACAAATGCTCTGGATGAAAAGTCAGCTTGAAGACTTCCAGATCTTTGAGAGTAACATTCCTATACTCTGATAATACTTCTGCTATTTGCTTAAGTAAGAATCCTATTTTACATTCTAGAGCTAAGCATATAGAAATAAAACATCACTTCATTAGGGACTATATTCAGAAAGGAATTTTGAATTTAAAATTTATAGATACAGACCATCAATGGGCTGATATCTTCACTAAACCCCTTTCTGAAGATAGGTTCAATTTCATTCTGAAACATCTCAGCATGAAAATCTGCCCAGAGTGAAAATGTTTTAATTCCATATATTTATCTTCAGAATGTACTTGTTTTACTGTGAACTTCTGATCAATCTCCTTTCAGAAAGATAGAACATGCAGATTGTATCAGATGCTAGTCTAAAGATCTGAGAGTTTAAGCTCAAGGATAGACGTGTTGATTCCCAAATCAAACAAGTGTCATCCAATCATCAGCAAATCTCTGAAGCAGAATGCGTGCACGCTTCTGAGAAAGCAAAACGCTGATTGGGTGCATTGAGACACATGTCTGGTAACCGTTTTTAAGTATCTTTCTCAAATCCCCCAAAATCAGCAAGCATTAAATGAAAGTAATCATGTTTTTAAAACGTAATCATGATTTTATTTCTCTTTCTTGAAAACGTTTACAATTTCAAAATATTCTGAAGGTTATTTAAACACGTTAACCTCTCACTTTAATCTTTTACAGTTTCTCACTATTTCTCAAAGTATTCTCTGCATTTTTCTGTGTTCATCTCTCTCAAACCCATTTTCTCAGTTTTTCTCAAAATCCCTAAGTGTGAACATGGCCACCTCCAGCAGTGCTTCTGTAGGTTCTCAGAAGAAAGCATCATCTGAACAGTATCAAGTGCCATTCAGAACACTCCTCACTCCTGTGAAGAATCTTGAAGTGTTATCTGAATTGATCATTGATTTTGGAAGTCTGAAGGAAAACGGTTTTGATTTAACAGAAGAAGTTAGGGCACAGAAATGGGAAAGGTATTTTGACAGGTTGGTTGGACCAACATTCCCTATGTTAGTCAAGGAGTTTTGGATTCATGCGACGGCTTCAACGCATCAAGTCACCTCCTACATTATGGGGAAGAAGATTGTGACCACTGAGGATCACATAGCAAGGTTAATTGGTTACAGTGGCGGTGGCGTCCGCTGTATTGATATGGATGAGAGATGTGCTGACGTGGGCGTCATAGCTGAAAAGATTTTCACCCATGGGGTGCCCAGCAGCAAGATCAAAGATCTGAAGGATCATCACAGAGTTTGGGCGAAGATAATTTTGGGGTACTTTAACCATAGGAAGCCAACTAGTTCCCCTGATTACATAAATGTGGATCAGCAGTTTCTGATCTACTTTATCAATCAGAAGGTAAAAATCAACTTGGCTCATCTTCTGTTTAACCACCTCAGAACAAGCGTGAAGGAAACCAGGGAAGAAGAAAGAACAAAGAGGGATTGGATACCCTTTGGAAGGTTGATATCAGATATTCTGACTGAGAATAGGCTGATAGAGCATCTGATAGAAGCTCAAGAGTTAAGCACCATTGAACCAACGGTTGGGAAGCCTCTGAACGCGAAGAACTTGAAGAAAATGAAGTTGATAGAGAATATCAAAAAGGAACCCAGCGCTACTCCTATTGCTGATATCACCAGCAGAAGAGTCCCACTGAGTGACTTTCCTTTATTCTCTGAGATAGAATCCAAGCCAGTGGTAGTTCTCAGATATCTAGACGCATGCAAAGCTGATGGTACAGATCCCAATCTGAAGATCAAAGATCTGCACCAACCTCAACCAGAAGTTACACTGAAGAAGACGAAGAAAAGGAAGGCACCTTCAGAAGGATCATCCCAGCAGACACCCAAGAAAAGAGGTAATTTATCTGCTGCTTCTGTTTTAAATTCTTCTACTATTCCAGCATCAATTCCACCTCCAACCTCTCATAGAATCTCAATCCCCATCCCAACAATAGATGAAACTGAACCAGAAGATGACCCTTCTGAGGCATTACAACTCAGAAGACCCAGAACCAAACATCCCAAACCAACAATCTCAACATCATCAGCAATTGACAAAGTGCTGTCTGACATTGATCAACACACTTCTGATCACTCCTCCATCAATCCAAACTCTGAACCAAAAATTGTCCCTTCTCCACAACCAGAACAACAGTAATCTGCTGAAGAACCAGAACAACAACAACCTCTCTCATCCATTCCAGAAGAACCTCTTATCCCTGAACAACCAGCAATTCCG